GGACTATGCATGGACCAGTGTCGCCTTGTCAGCTTGAAAGAAAAGCTTTGACAATACCACACTAAGACCTGGCCTTGTTCGTGACTTTGCTGACCGTAAAAATATTGTTGTGGCCCCAAAACACTCAAACAGTTACCGCCAGTCACTCATTTTTAGGCCTTTTCCATTGTAGGGACTTACCAACCTGTAACAGAATGTATACCACTCGTTACAAGCTCCGCTTTTGGTTTCCACTGACCTCAGCCTGCTTCGGAGATGAGTTCCTGTAGTAGGGTGATACCAAAAATAGTGCCAGGTACCAGGTACCATCCCCAGCCTTTGACTGATGGGAACAAAAATAAGACAAGTTGATTCGAGTTGAGCCTGTACCAGGAAATGGGGCTTATGTTCACACACCATGCTTATAATCCCAGCAGTTGTACCATGATGATGCTGACATGTAACCAATCATGGGCGACAGCCTTGCAAGCACCCACGCCCTCCCCCTTGAGCACCAGGAGATTGATTTTAGTGCTACCTCCTGAGGGGTACTGAAATGGGTACTGAAATTTAGCATAATTCAAAACATCAAGCCCTTTGTTGTCATTTGTTTTAATTAAGAAGGTAAATGGCTAAATATCTTAAAGCTACAGTTGATCAGATTGTTTTAAAGGTCATATTTGAATTCAGCATCTCAAATCACATATAAATTAGCACATTTCAATTTGGAATCAAAAAACCTTCTTTTAAAAATTGCAGACCAGTGCGTAATACAAACTGAACAGATCTGTTGTAAACCACAATGAAAGTCTGGATTCAAGCTGTCTTTTTCTGATATAATTCACCCATACTGGGTCATCTACTGGGTCATCTGGTGATAAGGTTGATGAAGAGGCCATAATGTCTGGTGTGTGGCTCAGCATGGGCACACCAGTTCTGAGCATAGCTAGCTAGACTGGACACAGGAAATCACATTTCCCCTGCTGACGGAGCTCTCCTTAGGGTGCAGTCTGGTGTTGGGCAGCGTAGTGCTCTCAGCACTGTTAGTGCAATAAGTGGTTAGTGATGTGTGCTCGCCATCAGCTTGTAAACAGGAAATGTTGATTCGCCCTTGGGAGCTTGTAGCTGGGAGTGTTGGGGCATGTGTGGACATCTGTGTGTGTGTGTTAAGGCAGGTTCAAGTTCAGTTCTTGATGCCTGTTGTGTTTGGCTTTAATTTATGATTTCTTTTGATTTCTTGGCTAATATGTGACATTTATGTGGGTAGGTTTGATTTGATTTGATTTATTCTTTCAAGCATGTAAAACAGTTGATATGACAATAACATAGTTTTTTTTATAAAATAACATTGTTTTTAGGAATCTGAAGTGTTCTAACTTATGGGGTACTTAGAAAAAGTTGCAGATTGCTTGATAAAACTCCATAACTTTTCCTAGTAGCTTGGAAGATTTCCAGGTTTAGCGAAAAGGTTCGCTAAAATACACAGTTCTAAGAATGTTTACATGTCTGAAAAGCCCAAAACTCTGCTGTTTAAACAGCAGGCAGCCAGAACGTTTTATCTGTAGTAGGGTTAAATGTCGAAACAGGAACTGAACACATGTGGGTGAAATGAAAGGCTGTTTCCAATATCGCCTGCAGCAGAGTTGCTGGTACAAATAAAGTAAAAGCTCTCATCTTATAATAATGGTCAATGTCTTTTATGCAAGCTTGTTTGAAGCCATACCTAATCCAGAGTGAGTTCTCTCCCATGCACTCTAATCTTTTTATCTTCATCTAACTGTGAACAGGAAGTGCAGTTTATAAATAACTTGCTCAGTTGTTACTAAGAGCAAAGGAGAGGCCTTTGGGTTAGATGCAATCATACAAAAGGACCAAAGAGCAGATGTGATGCACAGGGCTATGGTGAGGGCCATGCTGTCTTTCTGGTCAAAACATGGACCAGCTGGCCCATAAGAGAGAGAGAACGCGCCTTTGAAACCATGCCGTCTGTGCTGGCTCTGCTTGGCGCCACTCCCTCTCCTGTTGCCTGGCCTCGTGACCCGCTCCCTCGGCATCTTCCTGCCGTGCCTCTCCTGTTCTCTGTCTTGCATTCTTTTGCCTAGAGAAATACAAACGAATCAGAACTTTGTAATCTGAATGCATGATTATTTATATTCAGTGAGGAAAAGTAGCAGAACTAAATACACAGGGCCTCACCCAGAAGGGGTCCTCGAGAAGCCTGGAATGAAAAGTTACTCTTTGTTTAAAATATTTTTATAGTATTTACATTGTTAGAACATCGTTATTGTTGGCAGAACACACAGGGTGACAGATTGATTTCAGTGTCTACAGCAGTACTGATGTCGGCCGCCTCCTGGTTTTCTTGATGTTAAATTGAATATACTTGAGTTTGGATTGTGGGTCAGACAAAAGAAGCAAATTATCGGTGTCACTTTGGGGTTTGAGAAATAGGTATGATTGGTATTTTCTCTATTTTCTGACATTTAACCACCACATTATACATGGGTTAACTGGGAAAATATTCAACAGAGCACTGAACAATGTAAAAATGATTTTTAGTTGCAGTATTGTCTTCAGTGTCGGAAACAGAGAGTGGTCCAGCAGCAGGTCTGTCACTAGAATCACAAGTGAAAGTGTCAAACTGTAAAAGTGTTGAGAAGGGATGACATGTTTCAGGGTTTCAGACAGTGCAGAATGAAACACATGCAAGACCACAGATATTCTGATCAGGTTTAAATATTGTATGAAGAGGCTTTTTATCATCTGGAATAGCCATTATTTTCATGCGCTTAGCTGTATTCACTCATTTGTACATGCGAGAACACTTGAGAACAGGTTGTAGAAGCAGAGAAGGGGCCCGCTGGGGCTGCATTATGCAAAGGGTCCAAATTTTCAAATGAGCATACCTTCAGTGTCAACGCTGTACAAGCCAGATGACGCACACAGTACTTAGTGAAAGAGTGAAAGCACAGTAGGACTTTCTCCTGGTTCATCATGTGTCGACCTGTCTACTTTCTGTGGAGGTTAGCAGGAAGAATATGTTTCCTGTTAGCCAAAATAAACTCTGTTGACTTATCAAAATTTTATAGCTGTGTGCTGAATTAATGGAACAAGTAGTGAGAAACAACACAGAACTCCTTACAGTCGGTATACTGTAGCCATCGTTATCCTTCATCATGGATTTCAGAGTTGGCCACATTGTTGTTGTTTCATTTTGTAATCTTACAACCATGCTGTATCTCCTGCTGTATTAGGAATTATACTGGAAGCAGGGATTTTAGTCTTTTCAGCCACCTAAAGAGATTAAATTTCATGTCACAAGGATTCAATCTCATAAATACACTGAGATAAGAAAGAAGCAATCTGGTGTTCAAGCCTGGATTGTGTTTTGTGATGTCTCAGTCACATCTACATGTAATCTCATCATGCCTTCTGCGGGAAAATCCCCTTCTTTTCCTCCTCCACACAGCACCACGTGGAATCTTTGAGTAAGGGTAAATGTCATCTAACAGTTGTAGTCCATTTGAATGAATAAGAGACTTGAAGCTGATATTAAGCTTAAGTCTGGCCTGCATATATTTGTGTGCGTGTTTTGTATAGATCTGTGTAAGCCATCTGTTATGATGCTGTTGCTCTGGCGGTCCCACCCTGTTCGGCACTCAGCCCCAGGGCTTGGGGGCGTTTTAGGGCCCTTTCAGTGGGACACGTTTAAAAATAGCTCATTGAATCTGAACACAAGAAGAACACAGTCAGCGCAACACAGGGACGCAACAACACGTCTTTATCGTGCTGTAAATTAAGTTAGACTCTGGCTCTATGATAGCACAGGAAACCACATCCTGCTTGTTCATTTTACTTCAAGCATCAGTTGTAGATTGTTATTTTCTGTTCATTAGAATGATCATTCAGAGCAGGGACAGGCAGTGCTGTCTTTGGGGGACAGCACAGCTACGCTTTTAGATAAAGGCAGCAGTGTGAAGGTTTTGTTTTTGGTTCTCTGATGGCGTGAATGTGACTTTGAGCTGTGCTTTATTTCACATACACAAAGAACTGATAGAGAGGGTGACTGTGGGGCTTGTTAATAAGTTTTAAAGGTTAAATATTGCTGTTACTTTATCTACATGTCCTGTTGTTTAACAGTGAAACTAACCATGTAACCAAGACATCTCAGCTCTCACATTATTCATTAGGGACCAAATTGTTTACACCACGATAAGATATATCAAAAGATGAAACTTGTGACCACAGAGGCAACACATGCCAAGGTGTTCCTGTAATGACTGGGTTATACCACAGAGAAAATTTAAGATGAATAAACCCGAGTTACACCCATAAAGTAGGTTCTGTTATATCCACAGTACACTCAGAATATTAAGTGGACAGTTTGTGCTAAGCATGCCAGACAGTGCGGTCGATAAGCACGTCACTAATGTGTTGATTGACTAAATGAAGGTTGGAGATGGTGTTACACTCACATCAAGATGCTGTGTCAGTCCTCTAAAGCCAAAGAAAGCTCCTCGAATCAGTGAATCCCTTCAGAGGCGGCCTGCAATGCCAGAGGTTTTATAAAAAGACACTAATTAGATTTTGAGCACTTGAGAGCCATCATGTAATCAGCTCTCTCTTGTTTCAGAATGTCTTAAGAAGTTGGAGTCTTTGAAATGACACAGATACATCATGTCCGGGGACATAGATACTGCCTTGTTTCATTTTAATGTGTTTGCATCTGCTGAGCGTGTGAACACACTTTACTGATTATAGATCCAAATTGCTTAATGAATATGAATGAATATGGCCGTTTCCAATAAGTATTGATGTGGTTTCATGAGCCTCTGGTTTGAATAATGAACTCCTGCCGTGAATTATTGTGTGCTCGCTGTCAGTTTACTGCTCCCTTGGGATGTTTGGCCTTTGTTCATTGTCACGTGGAAGTGCAGCAGTCTCCTAATAAACCCGGTCCGGAAGAGAAACTATTGATTTTGCGACTGTGCTTTGATCTCCCTTTCTCTTTCTCTTCGCAGCCTGAAAGCTCTGGTTTCGACAGGAGGCAAAAACGTCCAGGCAGCGTGTGACTGGTGAGAGCAACACATTTCCTCACATACTCTTTTACACTTATCAGTGCACAGCTGGAATGCAAACAGAAACTGGTAAATCAAACATCTACGGACCTAACTCCTTATTGTTGAGTCACTGTGCTGTTACTACAGCAGTACTGCCCCCTGCTGGACATTTTCTCTCCTGCTTTTCTCCGACTTTTCATCACACATCACCTTGTACCTTCTTGGCTGCAGGCTCTTCTCCCATGTGGATGACCCTTTCCTCGATGACCCTCTACCCAGAGAGTATGTGTTATATCTGCGACCCAGCGGACCTCTGCTCCAGCAGCTCTCGCACTTCTGGCAGCAGTCCCGCCTGTCCTGTGGCAAGAATAAGGCACACAACATCTTCCCTCACATCACCCTCTGTCAGTTTTTCATGGTCAGTGTCAGCCTTTTTCTGTGCGTGTGCTTATATTGTCAGTGCTGTTATTAGTCTATGCACCGTACATTTCATCTCATCTTAGTTAAGATCTTCATAATGCAGTGAATAATATAGTATTCATTTGTTGTTAGTTCTCCCAAGTTTAGGAGCCTGTTTCTTTAAGAAAAGAAAGCTTTGCAATCCCAGTATTTGGTTTGCAAGGATTTGTTAACCTAACACTGTCTCTTTATGTCCCTCAAATTCCTTGTCCTTTCAGATTCGGTTAGTTCCAACTTGTGACCCAAGTTCCTGTTTGTTGGTGTGCTTTGTCTGTGTTTGGTATCTGTTGTCATACGTTTTGAACATGCTTCCTGTTACATGATTAAATGTTTTTTTTTTCAGTTTTTGTTTTATTTTTAGTGCCTCTAAGCATGGCAGCTTTGGTCACTCGGTCAGTCCACTGCTGTGATCCAGAATGAAATATCCCAACAAATCTTTGTAAAAGCAGTCATGGTTCCCAGAAGAAGAGTGAAGAGAGAGAAGATGATCCACTGAACTATTTCAACACCAATTTGATGAATTGGCACAAAAATGTGTTCAGATATTTATAGTTTACATTTAATGAATCCTAATAACACTGGGGATCCCTTAACTTTTGGTCTACTGTTATTCTAGTTGTCTCATGGTGGTCGTGACGAGCAGCTATTAATTTAACTACATGTTCATCACTGAGGTTGTAGTTAGTGGCGGTGTTGTATTTTATGTTAGATTTTACAGATGCACCTAATAAAGTGTCCACTGAGTGTTTATGCAGTATAAGTGTGGTATACAAATGTAATTATATGTGTGATATCTAATAATGCTAAGTCTTTTCTCTTGCTGTCTCCACTGTGCTCAGTGTGCTGATGAGAAGGTGGAGGCTCTGACCGACGCTCTCCAGAGCACCGTGACCAAGTGGAAGGGTCGCATACCTGCGCCCCTGCCATTGGAGCTCTACACCTCCTCAACCTTTATTGGCCTCTTTGTGGAGGAGGAGGTGGCGGAGGTGCTGAAGAGTTTCGCCTCAGATTTTGCCAGCGAAGCAGCAGCTAAAGCAGGTTTGAGTGAACTGATTTGTGGACTAACTGCTGAGCAGATGCTGCATTATCAGTGTACAGCTTTGCAGTCATTGTCATGACTATACATATAGAGTATATACTGTACATCTAGTTTAAACATTTCCTCTTCTTTTTCCAGATGTTCATGTCGAGCCCCATAAGAAACAGCTTCATGTCACTTTGGCGTACCACTTCCAAACCAGTCACCTTCCGGTTTTGGAGAAGTTAGCCAGAAACATAGATGTGTCTTTGGGCTGTGACTGGCTGGCTGTGCTCTACTCCCGGGATATTCGGTTTGCAAATCATGAGGTAGATCTGCTTTCTTCAAAATTAGTACCTCCTCTTAACAAGTCTGTTCCCCTTTCTTTATGATAACTGTGCCACTTAGCATTTTTTAACATCAAGTGAAAAAAATCAAGTATAATTCTAATTACCACTGTGTAATGGTTGTAACCATCTACCCCCTGTAGACACTGCAAGTCATGTACCCGTATATGCCTCGGAATGACGATGAGCTTGAGCTGGTGACAGGAGACTTTATCTTCATGTCTCCGGTGGAACAGAGCAGTGCCAGTGAGGGCTGGGTGTATGGCACCTCGCTGGGCACGGGGCTGTCGCGCCTGCTGCCTGAGAACTACGTCAGCCAGGCTGATGAGTCTGACACCTGGGTTGTCCATGGGTTAGTAGTGCAAACTCAGAAATCCATCAGATTCCATGACACATAAGGAGCCATACTGGGATTGGATTTGATTAATTACACATACATGTCAGACAGATTATGACTGCTTGTCCTGTCAAAGCCACCAAGGCCGTCTTTGCAACTACTTCATAAAACTATCACTGGGTGTAACAATTCACAAATCCCTCCAGGCTGCAGTTTTTAGCAGGTCAGCACAAATATAGACAAATAATGGGAGGTTTCTTGGCTGAAAGGAAAGATTAAAGAGAAAGAAAAGAAAAATGAATCATCTTCTTGGCGTGCTTACTGACTGACTGGGCTCCGTCGCCCACATTGCCACACACAGCTGCTTGAACAAGTTATGTTTCACTGTCATAGCGCTTTGTCAGTAGGTGGTGCAAAACTATAGAAATGCCTTCCTCCTTCCATTCATTCTTCTTATTCTGTTGATGTTTTCAAGACTTGTAAAACACACTTTTCATTCACTTAACTGTGCTCCGTTTTTGCTTTTCCTGTTTATCTGCTAGGTCATATGTTATATGCCACTGTATATACTGTCTGTCTGTAGGAGCTGATTGATTCTTTAACTTGAGCCCCCTGTTTGTTTCTTTTTCTGCACTGTAAGCCCTGTGGATAAACTGTATCGCACTTAAAGTGGTCTATGAATAAGCTCTCTGTGTTTGTCTGATCCTCAGGTCTCACTCCATCCACAACTGTGCCTCTCCATCTAACTCTGGCAGCACAGTGGGTGGGTTATTATTTGACGGACAGCTGAATAACACTCTACTTGACACTCTCATGGATCCTTCCAGCCTCACTGGCCTCTGTCCTCCTATGCAGGTACAGTATTCTTGTATTACTTGGCTTGCATAAAAACCGAATGCTGGGGTAAAGAGAACATCATGAACCTCACTGTTGTCTAGCATTAATGTTGTGCTTCCCAACATGAGTGTGTTAATAACAGTCATTACTGTGTAGGCTTCCAGCACAAGCGGAGCTCGAGACTAGCGCTGTTTGCTACGTGGCTTTAAAGTTTCACAATTTAATGCGTCTTTATCTCAGGTGTCAAGGCCAACTGGTCAGTCCTCCCTGTCTAAGATGAGACTTTTTGTGTGTCGCCATGGGGAGAGGATGGATGTTGTGTTTGGGAAAAACTGGACCACTCAGTGTTTTGACTCCAAAGGTTAGCATGAAGGGGAGACTATAAATGACCCATTTTCATACTGTGGGCTTACATAAAGCACTTTTGTCTTTAGTGTTTCCTGCTTCTGTAAGGTTCTCATTGGTCTTTTCATAGGCCGATACGTTCGCTCTAACCTCAACATGCCATCCAGCCTGCCAGCTAGAAGTGGAGGTCACCGGGACTATGATAAAGATTGTCCAATTACTGTGTTTGGCTCCACCCAGGCTCGTCTTGTAGGTATGTGTCAAAGATGTCAGTAGAGACTGTGTTTCCCAACATAATATATTTTACTGTATAGAACAATGAAATTGCCTGACAATAGAATGGCTCTGTGTGTTTATATGCCCCATCTTAGGCGAAGCCCTGTTGGAAAGTTTTGCAACAATAGACTTCGTTTACTGCTCTCCTTCTCTTCGCTGCATCCAGACTGCTCAGCACATTCTGCAAGGTAGGATGTCATCTTCGTTGCCTCGTCAATACTGTGACCAATCACAGACAAGTTAAGTGCACAATATGTAGATTTAAATAGTTACTCCTGCCTGATAATGTTGCATTTTTGGTATTGGTTTTTAGATCTGAAACTTTCAGTTTGGCTCACATTTCAACTGGATTTCTCTTGTTATTTAAAGCTTTAAGACATTACAACAAAATGTCTGTGGCACCTAGAGACATTAGGAGGTTAAATTTCTTTTTGATTTTCTTTGTCAAGTCCTTTAAACTTCCAAGGCTGCTCACTGAGTTGTGGTGCATGGGGCCAACACAATTACTCTTATTGCTTTTATTGCACATCTAACATTTCATGTAAAAATGTATTTATAGGTTTTCTATAAAAGATGAAACAGAGCAAGCAAAAATAGCATGACAGAGTACATGTACAGTAGCTTCCTCTCTGACAGCTTTCTGTGATTCATTCTGTGTCAGGTCTCCAGCAGGATGGAAAGACAAAAATCCGCGTGGAGCCTGGATTGTTTGAGTGGACCAAGTGGGTTTCAGGCACGTGTTTGCCCACCTGGATCCCCCCAGCTGAGCTTGCTGCTGCTAACCTGAGTGTAGACACAACATACAGGTACACAGCAACACTACAGAATCTACCTGCTTTTATCTCCCGCAGTTTACTCTAAGCTTCTCTACCTATTGTTTTATCCCTAGACCTCATATTCCCATAAGTAAGCTGGCGGTGTCAGAGTCTTATGACACCTACATCAGCAGGAGCTTCCAGGTGACCCGAGAGATCCTGGCTGAGTGCAACAACTTGGGTAAAGTGAAACATGTATCCAGGCTTTCCAATTAAAATCCAGCTTTCTTAATTACCAAAAAATGACTGGCTACAATGGCTACTCTGTTTTCCAGATGATTACATTTATGCTTCTTATTAACAGTTTGAAATATAATCTCTGGTGGCTACTGTACACTGAGCATAAGTCAATAAAATCAAAACTAAACATACACGGTGCTGTTTTTCTCGACCTACACTAAGAAAATATATGTGATTCTACCCCTCATACCAGAAAACCTTGAATAGGGTGACACAGTTATATAGAAAATGTTGTTTTAATTAAGCTCTTGTCTTAATAATCTTCTGAATCAAAATGTTTTAATTTGGATGTTGACCCAGTGTTTGTATGCTGTAAATGTGTCAAAAAACCAGAACACTTCAAGCTGCGTATTATCAACTACACTGTCCAAAAACAGCACGGTAAGCTAATGGTAGCTCTGGAATGTGGTTTTCTGTCTACCTCCTTCACACAGGAAACACGGTCCTGATTGTGGCCCATGCTTCCTCCCTGGAGGCCTGCACTCGCCAGATACAAGGTCTCAGGCCCCAAAACTCCAAGGACTTTGTCCAAGTTGTCCGAAAGGTCAATTTGTTGCTTTAGTTAGTTTGGTTTTAAGTTACATTTCTATCCTCTCCTGTCCTCATCTCTTTTTGTCTGTGCTAACATGCACATCTGTCTCCTCTGTGCAGATTCCTTACTTGGGTTTCTGTGCTTGTGAAGAACTGGGAGAGACCGGGGTGTGGCAGCTGGTTGACCCACCCATCTTGCCTCTGACACATGGACCTAATCACAGCTTCAACTGGAGGGAAATGCTAATGCAAGACTGAAGGATGTGCTGTTCGACTCTCTTATCCTTTGTTGGCCCCAAACAGCTGAAAAAATATTTATTTTTAATCCACACACTGCTATAAATGTCTCCTGTAAAAGACATCTCGCAATAAATAAATAAAAATTCATTGACGCAAATGTATTCAGACACACTGCTCAGGAATGCGAATACACAGTCTGGGTGGAGATCACAGCAAAACTGAGCTATAGATTGGGTGCCAGTTTGTCGCTTTTCCCTCAGCATTCCACTTTCTAGTCTCAAATGTGGAGGCACTAAGGAGAAAGCTGGGTACTTCTTGATGATGAATGAGGTTTTATGCCATGTGAAAGTGTGTCAGTAAGCTCTGTCTACGGCTCCTCCTCAGACAGGGCAGTGAAGAATGTGTTCTGCTGCCTTCTCACACACTGTGACAAGAGTTAGATGAGAAAGACTCGTATCACAGAATTATTTTTGTCAGAAATTATTTAACTTGTAGCTTTGACCCTCCTTAAAAAGCACAAAAGAAATGTTGACAATCAGACAGAGGAGAACTGATCTTCATTGTTTCTGGTGCTGAGGTGGGTGGTTTATTATACCTGTTTTATTCCTGTAAATGTCATATCATAAAGCGATTCTTCCAGGTCTTGTGCCCACATGAATCATTTAATCTTCCTGTAAGGCCATGGTCCACAGTTATTACATGGAGGCAGTGCAATTTTGATTATCACCGAAGGAACAACCAAGGAAACATCCATCCATCCATTATCTATACTGCTCATCCTGAACAGGGTCATGGGGGGGCTGGAGCCAATCCCAGCTCACATTGGGCGAGAGGAGGGGTCGACAGTCTGTCACAGGGCTGACCAAGTTAATATGATGAAAGAGTGAAATTAATAGAATGAAATATTGACTGTTGTTGATTTTGTCTGGGACTTAAATGTTTGCTTTTTTATCATGAGCCTCACACTCTGTAAGCCTGATAGCCACAATGCTTTTCACCTGGTGCATTTAATTTTTTATTTTATTTTTTTAAATATTTGTTTTGTTAATGTCAAATGATTTAAGCCCTTAACTGCCTATGCCAATTATTTGTTGTATGACTCAGAAAATCTATTGATTCTCTCAAAACTTAATAAAGTAAGATTGTGGTCTAAAACTATGAGCCTGTACCATGTATAGTGGGAAGAAGAATCAGGGACAATAGACGATAAACGACAGATGTATTGCACAGCACAGTGACTTGCATTAATGATGGCTCATTTACCAGGCCCTCAACTAAGAGAGAGGCAGCTTGAATTAACGTTATTAGATACACCTGTGCTTTTTCTGCTGCAAAGTGAAAACGTGTGACCTGGTAAAGGTCTGTTAGTTCAGCAGCAAACAATTCTCTTTTTTATTTGTGTAGGTCTGAGTGTTAGAAGTTTGACTGGTTTAATTTCTTGTTTTTTTCCTGTGAATTTGGCCTTTCTGTCATAGAACTTGTTTACTTTTTTTTTTAATAACCTCTAAGCACCTTTGACTCAGAAGGTGGCATCACTGCTGCTTAAAAAAAAAACCTTCTTTGGAATATAGAGATGGGATATGAATATTAGGCAATAAGAAAAGTAAACCTTTGTGATAAAGGGACAAACAACAGATTTGAGCTCACCCAGTCCCGCTAGAAGTTGTCTGCCCAGCCGTACCTTCTGCCCCTAACTCAGGTGAGACTTTTGTATTGTTTTGTTTACATATTGAGACTGAAATGGCATATGCCAAGCTAACATCAGTTTCATACAGCACGTTATTAGAAGTATCTTTGCTAATACTGCTGACTGTGTCCTTTAGTTTCAGTATAGTGAGCGGACAAATGTTTAACAATTTGACACAAAGGCTACTTTGAATTTTTGAGAGCATCCTTAGGGTTCATAGGTTTAATGGTCAAGAATCATGTTTCCTTCTTATCCAAAATGCTCAAATTTAGTTCAAGACAACGTGAAGTAAGATAATTTAAAGCTAACGATGCTTTTGATACTCCTACTAATAAATAATAGATTTTTAGTAGTGGCTCATCTATGTATATAGGCAATTATCTTAATGCTCTGAATATTCCCATACAGCTGATGACCACTTATATTGTACAAATGTGGATTTAAACCTTAAAAAGAAATGATGCTGTGAATACAGCTACATTCATTATGTTATAATAATTTGATCATGTTTTACTGTGATTATAATATTCCTATTTTGAATTTACAGTTGGTGTGCTTTTCAGAATAATAGCAACAAATCACCACACCTTGTCTTGCAACAAGCTGAATCTCTTATACTCCTGTTAGTTGCTTGATTTAAAAAGACAAAATGCAATCAGAAATCATGCAATAATACATTCAGAGATTACTATAAAGGGACTTTATGTGAACCGAAATGTTGCAAGACAGCGATATCGAAAACGGCAATAACTAAAACATTAATATGTGATCCACCAGATTTATCTACTCAATCTAACATGGTCCTCCACTATTCTAGGAAATGGTGGTGTCTTTTATGCTACAAGTTATTAAAACTGGTCATTTGTTGAGCAGGGTCCTTGGATAGGTCTGCAGTGGAAGTCATTGCCACATATTTTAGGCCTTATATTTACTATAAATGAAAGAATAAATGTTCCCCTATCACCTTTAGGCCTCTTGGGACCGAGTGCCTCTGGAGCAAGATGTCTTACACCTACATACAAAACACACTCGCACTAGCTGCACACAGATGTGAGACAAACACTAGATGGTGCTGTTTGATGACCAATACCAGTAGTCCTTCATAGTAAGCTACAGCCAGGCACATCTGGACTGGGCCAGTGGTTTTGTAACTTTTTAAAATGTGGGTTATCTGTTGCTCGGTTCATGTGGTTCTTCTTTACTTGTGGTTCTTTATCTGATGAGACCAGTAGTGATTTGACTTTAAATTGATGTTTTGATAGAATGGAGTGTTTGTATTGCATTGAAGATGTGTGCTCCCTCATCCAACCTGATAAGGGGCGATGTCTGAGACTTCTCCGAGGATGTAGTGTAGTAGGATTCTTTTGCTTGGTGTGAAAACGAACCATGTGGTAGGTGCAGTGTATCTGTAAAAACAAAAGCATCAAAGTGATTATTCTAATAATTATGTTGCTTAAAAATAAATTCAAAGCGAAGAGGTCAATCCTCCAACATGGTTTCCTTTGTATAATCTCACTGAAACAGCAGATACAGAAACATGTCTTGCAAAATATGTATATACGTTCCATAAAGAACCACGTAGGTGATGCAGTAAGTTTGCTTGGTACCTACTGGTTACGCTAATTTACAGTTCATTCATGCAGGAGTCCGAGGGCAGTGACTTCAAAGCATCCCGGCAGCCAGGTGTTCAGTGAATTGCACATAATTGAACACTTTGGTTGAGATTGGTTCTTGTCTCTAATTCTGTTTTTTGAAAATATGATTACATGCAACACCTTGTTGACAAGTGGCAGTGGTCAGCAGGATCCATTTATCTAGTATGACTAGAAATGGAATAAATGGTAATCAGAAATGTCTCTTTGAGTAGTTCAGTTGTTTTTAATATTTTAGCTTGACCATAAGAAACTTTACATTTAAAAATATTTGCTTCAAAAATCACTTTACTAATCTGTCTTCTGCAGTACTGCAGCCTATTGTTTACTGTTTGCCTTTTATCCACATTTTTATGAAATGCAGCCACTCTGTCACACTTAAAAGTTTGCAGCACTCAGTGTGTAAACCAAAGCAGTATTCCCATGATAGTTTGACTCTCATGTGATTCCTCGACTACGAAAAACTACCCCTAGCATTTGGAATCACACTGATAATATTTGTTTGAAAGCTACTCAAGAAAAACAATATTTCAGTAATGGTGTAATGGTTTTGTTTAGGATTTAGCTCAGTAACTTTTGAAGATAATATGGTGTTTACAGATTTAAGCTAAGTCCGAGTTTCAGCTACAGTTTGATCTTAGTTGTTGGTCTGTAGCAATGTTTGTTTTCTCAGTCGAGTGTGTTTTCTGTGAGTCCTGAGGAATATGACTTGGATCCAGATCAGATTTTAGTGTGTGGTAGATCTTATGTGAATGTTATTGTGCAATTTTTGTCCAGATATTCTAGGTACTGTGTATGGAGTTTGAAGCAAACATATTGAAATTGGTCCCATCTCACAATGGCGAAGAATCCTTTAAGAAAATGTCCAGATTATGGTATAGATCGTGGTATAGATCAGCACCAGAATCTAATGGATTGTTCTGTGGGCTGTACACTACCTCTCCTAAGCATTTAATCAGAATCTATTTATTACTTGTGAGCTTCACTGTGAACCAACAAACAAAGGCCAGTGATAACATTGCCTCAGCCTTGGTGGCAGTAACTAAATAACCAACTCTGTGACAAGTAATTGAAGCTGTTGTTTGTAAGGCATCATTTTCAGTGTTGTGAGCTAGGATAAAAGGTCTTTCTCGTTTCCACTTGTGCACTTTTTTCTACCTTCTGAGTCTTGCAGCAACAGTGTGATGTTTGAAAGCTCAAAATATAGTGTGAATTGAGCTTTGTGTCAGAGATCAACCAAGAGCTGTATTTACCACCCATATTACTACTTCAGATAAAACCCCACATGTATGATTTATTTTATTTTTCTAATTCTAGCTTGTTTGTCAGTTTTTGATCTTTGGTTGCAGAAAAAAGCTAGTAGAGGAGCATGGATCTCCTAGCCATGCAGCTTCTGTGCAGTATGATATAGACAGTACAGCAACTTTTTCTGTGTTCTGGCATGGGACCAAGCACATGTTTGGCATTATTAATTAAACCTGCATTTATCTTTTATTATATTTTGGCCACTTGTGGGCTATGCAGTGAGCTTTAAACATAATACTGACCTATTCTCTCATAAGGGTAATTGTGATACGAACCAGTTAACATTCAGTCTTCTTGCTCTGTCACATTACACATGTATTAATTTGATCTGTTAGAGTAAAATCTCTTTAAAAAAAGTCTAGTTACACAAATGGGTATTAAATGTTCATCTAATTTTTGTTTAACTAGCTTCCTTAAGTCAATAAAATGATATCAGTGTTTTACCATGCCATATTTAGGTAGCTGCAATTTGTTAATGAGGACACAAGCATAATCTTTTGGCCAGTCATCATTGTCAGCATTGTTATCTCTTATTTAATGGCTTTGAAATGACAGTTTAAACCCATAGTATCAACTTTGGAGAACGTCTGAAATTAAGATGTTGAACCATTATTCTTCCTGTCCCAGATGAAAACAATTTTGGCTCGAGTCCCCTCATTGGACCTGCTGAAGGTCTTCAGACACATGGCGCAGCAGTCATGCCAGTAAGAGGTATTTCAAGTGGTTGTCAAACAAGTCTGCTGGGCTTCCAGTTTGGCACCTGTGTTGTTTTCTATTTTTATAAATAATGTTGGAGTCAACTTGTAGCCAGCAAAAATACATTTGTAAACAGATGAAACAGTTATGTATACATTTGCCCATTCATTAAACCAAGCTACTGCAGACCTTCAAACTGCATTTCTTAAGCTTCAGTTATCCTTTTACCAGTAAAAACCATATCTAAGAAAATATGTACAGTACAAGACAGCTTGGGTCGCAATACTTGAACAAATTGAAATGGAGAGTCAATGAGAATGAAGATCTTGGAATCTGGCTGAATGACAAAGAATCTCTTTACACTATACAGACATTAATCTTGGAAGAAAAAAAAAGCCAAATTTTAAAAATCTTTCCCCTTTTCAGCAAGAAACAATCTTGTTCAATCGATTTAATAAACTATGATGAGACATGACACATGCATACATCAGACCCATTACTCTGTAGACTTGACCCTGTCTGCTATGCCTACTTATGTTATATTTTAAATGTTGGAATAAGAACTTATCACTGTGATTTATATGGGTTAACTGGATGGACCTCACAAAAAATTAGACATACTTTTTAAGGTGCCTTTGCACTTGTAGCTATCAGACCAGATCATCCACATGGCTTACCTACAGTGTACACTACCTGGGGTTTGATCTGAGCTTGAAAAAAAATCTGCGTTTTCATTCTATACACCTCGGTTACCTTTGTAAGTCAGAGGTCTGCCCTTGCTTGGCATAAAACTAGTTAATGTCAAAACCAAGCTGACAGACAAGATTCTTTCTGTGTATGGTAATAACTCAGGATCAGGAGACTGCTGCAGGATGTGACTTTGGTGTGCTTTCTTCAAGGAGATTTAGCCATGTGACAGTTTATATCAACGTTCTCGTGAATTTGTGTGAATGTTGCACTTTATGTAGGAAGCTAAGGTTGAGTACAGTCAGTTCATTTTTGTTAAAGTTATATCTGCCTTGCTAGTAGATCAGTGGAGTCAAGATAATATTTATCTAAAATCAGGTCTACCCTATTGACAGGTCTTCAATTCAGTAATAGCAGGCGGAGGTGGATGGTTGAATTAGTTGCCTGTAGGTTACCCATTTTGTCATTTTGTTATTTCTTTCACTGTGTGTAAGCAAAAGGATTGTGTTGTCTCTGTTGATGACATTCGATCATGTGACTGGTGCGAAACTGGAAGAATACAAACATCTGAGGGGACAGGGTAACTCTGGCTGATGTCCAGACCTGATTGTGCAGACAGTGTCCAGAGTTCATATGTGAAAAGATCTTAAGTCATTTAACTTTTTTTGGTAA